ACTCTTCTCTATCCTTGCCGCTCAGGAAGTGTGCTCCATAATAAATCTCCCACAGCACCACAGGTGTGTTCTCCACAGTGTAGAAGCTTCCTCTTCCATCTGAAGAGCTGATTGCCTCCTTTCCACCCCGAATTCCTGTCCCGAGAAGCCTTTGCTACCTGGACAGACACCTGATGTCTCCCCAAGGCTATTGGTGTCCAGTTATGTGATGCTGCCATGTGACATTTCATGTGGCCAAAAGGCCAGGGTTTCTAGCCAGCCTTCCCCAACACTTGGTACCCTACTTTCCACACAGTGGGCATTCAATGACTGCTTGAGGGTCCAAGCAAATGTGAAGCAAAGTTCACCATGAGTTCCCATCACCAGGCTTCAGGCAATAAATGTCATTTTTTTTTTTCTGTCCTTATTGAGTTCCACATTTTCTGAGTTTTTTCCATCTTAAGTCATGATTCTTGTGCCATGTGTCCATTATCCTGTCAGCTAACTGGATGAGATGTTTGCTGTTTGCCTCTAGGTTTTATGTTGTTTGACTGAAGCTATAGCTCAGCGACAGAGGGCTTAGCAAATATGAGGTCCTGGGTTCCATCCCTAGCACCAAAAAAGAAGAAAGAAAGAAAGAAAAAAAGCAACTTAACTTTCTATAACTTTACATAGAATTGATAGAGTGATCTCTGTGTCCCAAACAATTTATACCTACCTCTAATTAGAGAGTGGCTATATTAGAGCCACTGAACCCTGGGTACAGCTGAGAGTAAAGGGGACAAAATAATTAATAAGCCAGGACTAGAGATGGCCCTGATAAACTCAGAAATATGATCATACTATTATGATAGTAGTTATGTATCGAGCTATTCAGGCTGTTCTAGGCTGACAAAGACTTTATTTCTCTTACCTTCTTTGTCATGTGGGACTGTGATTGTCACATGGTCTGGTTGAAGTACTGTTGGGACCTCTTTGAAATCATTCTTTTGCTCAGTGGTAGAGCCCTTGCCTAGCATGTGAGAGGCCCTAAGTTCAATTCCCAGAACTGCACATACACAGCAAAGTTTTTGATTGATTCTGCTATCTTTAGGGCTCAAACAGTTCCACCCAGTGCCTTTTATGAACCTTTTTTTCTCAGTATTGTTATGAACCAGGGCAAGGAGCTTAATTAGATGCTTGTGTCGTGCTAATAGTTAATATTTTATTGCTGGTACTTTGCTTGAGCCTGTGAGTTCTCTGAATGATTTCCCACAACAGTTCTCAAGGTAGACATTATTAGTCCTATTAAATGAAAACGTAGGTTTGGAAAGAGCTTTGATCTGAGCTACATTGCTAATTATGCACCAGAGTCTGGATTGAATTCCAGATTCTGATTCCATACACCGTCTCCTTTCTAAATGTGGAAATAGAGCTGCTATCAAGTTTTGGGAAGCAGTTTAAAAAATATAAATAGCGCACTTGTCGGAAAATTCATTTGCTTTGAGTTGTGTATGTGTGTACATGTATATACAGTGTATGGGTGTGTACATATGCAGAAGACAGAGATCGACATCACATATCTTTTTGTCATTCTCCATTTTGCTTTTAGAGACAGGGTCTCTCATCAAACCTGAGACTTGCTGCTTGGGCTAGTCAGGGATTCTCTCTATCTCTGCCTCCTAGTGCTGGGATTACAGGCTTTTTTCATGGGGGTTGGGATGGAACTCAGTTCTCAGACTTGTACAGCACGTCTTTGTCCCCACTGAGCCATCTCCCCAGCCCCAGCTTTGAGATCTCCAAAAGAAGATTTATTCGGTTTAGTGAGACTGCAAAATCAGGCCAATGTGGTAGCAATGGGAGCCCAGAAGCGATTAGGAGCTGGTTAGACCAACATGTTGCTTCCTGCCGTCCTTGGTGTTTCCACTTGTTATGGATTAGGAAGTACGCAAGACAGCTCCTTTTGTACTTCAGCAACTCTGCTGCTTATCAGGAGCCTCAGAGGCAGGACACTGTGCGCGTGAAGAACGGAGGTGTCTGTTTTCTGTCCTTGTCCTTTCTTGGGAGCAAGATTGTACTGGGCAACAGTCTTAAAGACAGTGAAGACACACCCTGTCTCTGACTCCAGAAAATTTCGTTTTTTGGTATCATCTTAATTACAAACTGTATTTTGACACGATGAAATCCTTTATCAATGATTTTTTTTTTTGAAGAGCAAAATTTAACCTCTTTCCCTCAAGAGGGCCTCACTATGTAGCCCTGGCTCTTCTGGAACTTACTATGTAGACCAGGTTTGCCTTGATCTTACATAGATCTGTTGGGAAGATGTGTGTCACCATGCCTGACTTAAAACTTGACTTTTTTTTAAAAAAAAAAAACTGAATCATAAGGTATAATTTGTAGCTTTGTTTTAAACCATGAAGGCTAAATTAAATATGTAAAGAGACTGCTACTAATATTGAGCAAACCATCATGTGTACATACTGTTAAACAATAGTATCATCTAAGCTAGGTGCACGAGTGTAATCTCAGCACGTGAGAAGCAGAGGCAGAGGGATTGCCACAAATTCAAAGTCACCCTAGTCTACAGTGTGAGTGCCAGGCCAAGCAAGTCTATGCATAGGGAGACCCTGTCTCAAGAAGCCATAACAACAACAGCGACAAAACAATGACCATCTAGTTAATCAGAACTGGGTCCTTAGCAAAAGGGGCGTGTGAATGGCCCTAGCACCTCAAACTAGATGCTGTTCAATCACACATTTTTATTATTTATTTTTTATTTACTCTTTTGTTTTCTTCAAGTCAGGGATTCTCTGTGTAGCCCTAGCTGTCCTGAAATGTGTTATGTAAGCCAGGCTGGCCTTGAACTCACAGAGATCTGCCTACCTCTGCCTCCCTGATGTTGGGATTAATGTGTGTACCATCATCACCCCGCCTCACACTTCTATAAAGTATGAAATAATCTGTAACCATTCCCATAAGGATTGTTACCTTTTATGGATAAGTGGTAGAAAATATTGTTTAAGGTGACCACATTTGCATGTCAAAGAACAATGCAAGCACATGTATGATACTTAGGAAGTTTTTGGGGTTTTTTGCCTTAGGGAAGTTTCCTAAAACAATGTGCCTTTAAATATTATATGAAAATTTCTTTACTCTATCACATTATTCTTACTCAGTGAAATAGGATACAAGGATATCACTGGCCAAAAATTGCATCAAATGTCAAGTAAATGGTTACTGTACACAAAAGAACTGGAAAGTCCAAATGCTTATGGTGTGATGTAGGTTAAGATCTAACAGCTGATTGACAGATAGAAAGTGGAATCAGAGGAAACTGAAAATAAAATTGGTTATTTTTGTTGTTTTAAATTTGCTATTATCTTGGGGATGTTTAATTTTTTTCATTTCTCTAGGTACTTGGGAAGTATCAGTTGACTAGAACAGCCATCCCCAACCTCAGAGGTCTGCATATGTAGCTCAGTGGCAGAGCACCCACCACGAAAGAGCAAGCCCCTGGGTTCTGGCCACAGCGATACATAAATCAAAACCAGCTAATCCAAATACCCAGCTTCTATTGGGGAAGATAGCCACACAAAAACAAAAATATGGAATAAATTGTGAAGCTTGTTCTGGGGTGAAGAGAACAGGAGCAGGGTGGGAAAGATTGAGCCTGTAGCAATTTAAAGTAGTGGATTTAGGCTAAGTGTTATTGTTAAGGGAGATCAGAGTGCAGTTGAGAAGTGAAGGTAGACATTGAAGAATGTCCTAGTCCCTGAGTGGCAGTCTGGAATATGCAAGCAGCCGTGAGTGATTGGAGATGAATTCTGAGACCTATAGGGAAAAACCAAATTCCAGGGACTTCGTTAGCCATTGTAAAGATCTTATCTTCTACGGTAACTGGAACTCTGGTGGATTTCGATCAGCTGAGACACGAGCTGACTTTCCTTGAGGGAGGATAGGCTCCCTTTGTTTTGACAACAGACTTGGTTGATGGTGGCCAGCGGGGCCACTTAAGAAGGCCACTGAAGTATGACTGGGGCCACGAATGACAGAAGCAATGTAGGTGAAAAGTTGTCTGATTTTGGTTTATTTTGAATGTAGAACCTTACCAACTGCTCTTGTTGACAGAATGGATGATGAGAATGAGAGGAATCAAGGAGTATTCCAGTTTGAGGATTGAACTGCTAGAAAATGCCTACACATCATGATGGGCAGCTAGCTCCATTTTTGAGTATGTGCCGTCAGATTTTAAGTGGAAGATGTTCATTCATTTCTTGCTTCTCGGTACGTAGTCAAAAAACAGAATGTGGTAGCTGAGGCAGGAGGACTTCTGTGAATTCCAGGTCATCCAGGATTCTACCCCAAAAGACCTTAGGTGTGTGACACACACTTGTAATCCCAGCATTTGGGAGGTGGATGCAGGAGGATCACTAGAGGATCACTAGACCCAGGCCAGCCTTAGCTACATAGTGAGTCTGACGCCATTCGGGGCTACAAAGAGACCCTGTCTCAAACAACAACAAAACAAAACCAAAAAAACGATCCCACAAGAAGTCACGGAGACGCACTGGACACTTTGCACGCATTTCAAATGCCAGGTAGATGTTTTTGGCTCTATGCCCTCCACTGAGTCAGTGATTCTGATTCCTTAAAAGTAATGTGACCGGGGGTTTGGGGCAAATAGTTCTCAACTGCTACCAGCTGAGAGACACCTGGTGCTGGCCAGCTCTGCCCCGCAGCGCCCTCGCTTGCCCTGGCGCGTCCATTTGCCGGATCTGGATGGGAAGGGACTGTGGCGCGCGGCCGAGGCCACCATCATCACCCCCTCTTCCCTTTCCCCTCTCCCCCCCTTCCCCGCCCACTCAGCGGGTCACTCTGCGCGGGCCTGACGTCCCCGGGGTCTCACCGCTCCCTCACTGGGCGGGGCCTCGCAGCAGCCAGCCCGCCTACTGGGGGGGACAGGGCGTGTCCTGGCACTGGGGGCGTGGCCGCGCAGCCGTACACACCGCCTGTGGCTCCGCCTCTGCGCGCGCGAGCCTGAGCGGGAGGGCGGAGCCCGAAGCAGGGAGCGCAGCTGCGGGTGTGTGGCGACACTAGAAACATCGGAGCCGGCGCTCGGAGCCGCGCGGCCGGAGCTGGGAGCCCAGACAAAGGCGACGGTGAGTGTGGAGAGGGCCCCACGGTGGCCCCGCGGCGCCAAGTACAGAGCCGCCGTCCAGAAGGCTGAGGGTGAGCGGGGCCCGGGCCTCGCCGCGCTGCGGATTGGGGCTGCGGGCTGAGGCTGCGGCTGCGGCGGCTCCATTTTCCAGGTCTGGGCGAGGTCCTCACGCGAGGACCGGCGTGTGGTGCTCTTCATTCTCCGTGAGGCCGGCTTCCACCGTAGCCTGTATCCTCCCGACGCGGGAGGCGCTGCGGACCCCTCCCCCAGCCCGCAGCCCCGCCAGTCTGGACCGGCGCGGAGCGGCCAGGCTCCCGGACCCCGACTCCCGCCCGGCCTGCCCGGGACCCCGAGAGAGGAAGCCGGGTTGCCGGCTCGCAGTCGCTCCGGCGACTCGTACAGGTTGTTGCACCGGGAGCTCGCAGCCGCGGTGGTGAGCCTCACTAACGGGTGTGGTAGGTAGCGGCTCGCTGACGTCGCGTTCCGAGCCGAGGAGCAGCCCCTGACCGGCTGATTTCGCGCAACCCCGGGAATTCCTCTTCAGCAGCAGTGATTGCAGCTGATAACCTTTCGTGGAGGAGTTGGGTGGTGATGTGCAGAGCTCGGCATCGAAACGTTCTGGGGCAGGGAGTCGAGCTCAGTGGTAGAGAACTTTGCCTTGTACGCAAGAGGCCCTGAGTGGTTCAATCCCCGGGACCCTCGCCCGCCACAAAGAAAAAAGAAAAAAATGTAAATGCTTTATTAAAGGACCTAGCATTTAAATACGTGCTCAGTGCAATACTGGTGCAATGAATGAATCTCGAGACACCAGACATAGAGCTGAGTATGATTAAGCACATACTCTCTTGACTCAGATGAAGGTCTGTTAGTGTCCCCGCTCCATGTAAACTATTGATAACTTTTTCAGTCATTATCGCCAGCTTTGTAGACAGTACGCTTGAGATGTGGAATTTTGAGAGAAGTTGGTTTAGAGTTTCCTATTTCTTAACAGGCCCCATTTCTCATCTTCTTTGAAAATAATGGCGACTATAAAGGTGTTTGGGGTGTATTTTGAGGCTTAGCTTTCTATTTTGTAGGAATAAAGAAGTGTATGTGCTTTTGAGGGACTGTGGTATGGTCTTGAGAATCTGTATTGAGCCAGGGAGAGCTCTGAACTGTAGGGGAAGGGACCTAATGTCTTCCTGGTGGTTAAACATCACCGCCCACTCAGCATACTCATTAAACACATATTAAGCTCAGAGACTGGTGCTGTATGTGGAAGGGACAAAGCCCAAAATGATTTCTCTCTTAAGCTTGAGCGTGAAGTTCATTCTGTGGTATCCGTGGAGCAAATGAGGACTGCCTCAAATCCCAGCACCACTTCATTTAGGAAAGATGGCTGGTGAACTTCAGGAAGTGTGAATTCATAGTAGTCTACTTAAAAGTTAATAAGTAACTCTTTAAGGCTAAGATTACTGGGTTATAGTTTCATTTCTCAGCTTAATAAAAATCCGTGTAGATTTGAAAGTGGCAGGAAGAATGGTTTCAACCGTGGTTTCATTCTTCCCTGGATTAGATTTTGATGCAGTGTTTTTATTGAGAGTGTGATTTCAGATGTGTTTCAGTAAGAATCTTTGGAATAACATTTATATATATACACCCTAGGCGGTGGCGGCGTTGCAGGCCTTTAGTCTCAGCACTAAGGAGGCAGAGGCAAGTGTATCTCTGTGAGTTCCAGGTCAGCCTGAGCTACAAAAGAAATCCCCACTCAGTGTTAAACATCACTTGCTGCTCTTCTAGAAGATTGAAGTTCCCAACACTCACACTGGATGGCTCACAACCATCTGTAACATCATCTCCAGGATATATGACGCCCTCTTCTGGTCTTCATGAGGCACCTGAATATAGTTGACATATAGACACAAATTACAAAACAGTCATTAAAAAATTCCCAAAGATTGGGCAGGGAATAGAGGTTAGTTGTTATGAAGCCCCTCATTCAATCATCAGCACCACATGGTGTGATAGTTTGAGCCTTAATGCCAGCACCTGTGAGACTGGACATGAAACAGATCATGAGTTCAAGGCCGTCTTTGACTTATTTAGCGAACTTGAGGCCAGCTTGAGCTATATGCAACTTAAACAAAACAAAATAAAACAAAAAACAAAAACAAAAAAACCCTTGAAGATAAATTAGTAGCTTTCTTTTGTTTTGGATATTTTAGCCATTTTATTTTATTTAATTTTTAACAGAACTGGGGTTGCGGCTTATGGTAGTACACTTGCCTAGCATGCGTGTACCGGGCTCTGGGTGCCATCTTCAGTGCCGAAAAAGAAGGGGTTGATGGGTAGAAAGGAAGAAATGTCTTAAATAAAGTACCTCTTCAGCAGTTTTATTTTGGCTCCTTGTTTGTCATGTAAAAAGAATATACAGTTGACCAGGTAGTGCTGACAAGAGAAGGATTATTAGTATAATATGTGGTGCTGTTTGGACTTTCTTGCTGGTATGACAACTATGATAAAACTGCTTATTAAAATGAGGGTGTGGGCTAGACATTGTGGTGTGTTGCGCCCCCCCCCCTTTTTTTTTTGAGACAGGGTTTCTCTGTGTAACAGCACTGGCTGTCCTGGAACTTGCTGTGTAGACCAGGGTGGCCTCGAACTCACAGAGCTCCGCCTGCCTCTGCCTCCCAAACGTTGGAATTAAAGGTATGCGCCACCACTACCTGGCGCTGTGGTGTGAACCTTTAATCATAGCATTTGGGCGGCAAAAGGCAGGTGAATCCCTGTAAGTTCAAGGCCAGCCTGGTTTACATAGCTAATTCCAGGCCAGTGAGAGCTACAGAACAGAGTCGGGGGTGGGGGGAAGAACAGCAGCAAAGGATGTGGGCTGAGGATATAGCTCAGGTGCTAGTGTGTGTAACGTGCATGAGGCCTTGTGCTTGAGCCTCAGCACTGCATAAATTGGGGTACATTCCTGTAATCCTAGCACTGAAGAGGTGGAGGTAGATGCAGGAGGATCAAGAAGGTAAAAGTTATCCTTGGCTGCTTATCAAGTTCCAGTCCAGCCTAAGCTCCATGAGACCCTATTTCAAAACAAAGCCAACCAACAAAACAAAACAGTCCCCTCAAAAAACAAAAAAACCCCAACTCCCTCCAAAAAACAACCCAAATGGTGAAGACATGTATGTTGTAACCCAGTTGATAGAGTGTTTTTCTAGCACCCATGAAGGCCTGGCTTTGCTTCCTCAGCACTGTGTAAAAGAATGGGCCGTGGTGCACTGCCACATTGCCTCAGGAAGAAAGAGGTGGAGAGCAGCATTGCATTCATTATGAACATAAAGTTTCTGTTGTCCTTTGTTGTGGTTGTTTTCGGGTGAGATCGAGCCAGAACCTCATGTGTTCCACCTCAGTTGCGGCCCCCACTCGTTTTCATTCTGTTTCTATATTTTCATGTATGGTTTGAAAACAGTGAAATTATGTGCCACATTATGACTTTCTGATCAAAAGATTTGGCTTTTTATGCCTGTTCCTAGCAATAATAAGGGAAGAGTACATTTGATTAGAATGTTTTGATTTTAGATGTGTAGAGATTGAATTTTCAGTATTTTTTTCTAGGAGTAATACAAGTAACCCCACACATCTTATTGGTAGAGAGTCATGATAGTTTCTTTTTTTAAAAAAAAAAGATTAAAAAATGTATTCATGTATTTTATATGTATGGGTGCTTTATTTGAATATACTCCTGCATGCCAGAGGCATCAAATCCCATTATAGATGGTTGTGAGCCACCAAGTGGTTGCTGGGAATTGAACTCAGGACCTCTAGAAGAGCAGCCGGTGCTCTTAGATGCTGAGCCATCTCTTCAGCCCCTCTCTTTCTCTTTTAAAAATTAATTTTGTATTTTATTTTAGATATAAGAATGTTTTGCCTGTGTGTATGTATGTATACTATATTTATGTCTGGTGCCCATGGAGGTCAGGGGGGTGTCAGATTCCCTCGAACTGGAGTTATGGATGGTTGTTAGCCAAGCCACGTGTAAGTGCTGGGAACTGAACCCAGATTCTCCACAGGACCAACTGGTGTTCTAAACAGCTGAGCCATCTTCCCAGCACCTAGTTGCTCTTTTCTTAAAAAGAAATAAATAAAAATTAAGATTTCTGTTTTATTTATTTATTTTTTTGCCTTTTTTTTTTTTTTTAAATTATTTTTTGAGACAAGGTTTCTCTGTGTAGACCTGGCTGTCCTGGGAACTCGCTCTGTAGACCAGGCTGGCTTTGAACTCAAGAGCTCCTCCTGCCTCTGCCTCCTGAGTGCTGAGGTTAAAGGTGCTCAGCACTCTCACTGTCTCTGTTTTTGTTTTTAATTATTTGTATTTATGTATCTAGGTGTGAGTATGTGCACATTAGTGAGAGTAAGTGCCTGTAGAGACCAGAGGAGGAAGTGGAATCCCCTGGAGTTAGAGGTCGTTGTGAGCCACCAAACTTGGTTCCTCTACAAAAGCAGTATGTGCTCTTAATTGCTGAGCCATCTCTCCAGCCCTGACAGTTACTAAAATGTTCTGTTTCTTGTAGGAGGAGTTATATGAGGATGTACACCACATAGTCTTCAGTCTGTAGAATGCCGTAGTGTCTGGGTTTTTGTAAAGTATACTCTATCATAGTCATATGGTGAGGAAATCACCTAATGATACATTTTGCAGAATATCTCCATCATTGAATGATGTTTGACTCCTTTAGAAGTTCAAATTAATGTTCTGCACAGTCTGTCTCCATCATTACAAGGTAATGAAGATTTACCGCTGTTTTTACAGTTAGCTTTTGAATTTAGTCAGCCCCTGTGACTTACCAGTGCCTGAAACATTTTATCATTGTGTAGACTGTGTGAACATTCAAATAGGACTTTCCAAGTTTAGACATTGGCTGTTAGCTTTTTAGTGGCTATTCTTAGGAGTAACAAAGGAAGTCATGAGTACCTGAAAACAGAACTTTCTGATTTTAGACTTATTGGCTGTTCACTTTT